ACAGCTGCTCAGCTCCCGGGCGGCTCGGCGGCAGGGCGGCTCGGGTGCAGGGCGGCTCGGCTCCCGGGCGGCTCGGCGACGGACGGCTCGGGTGCAGGGCGACTCGGCTCCCGGGCGGCTCGGCGACTGGGCGGGTCGGCTGCCCGGCCGCCCGACTGCTGCAGGTGAGGCGGCGGGGTCGCGTAAGAGAACCGGGGCGGGGCCGCGAAGGGGCCGGCGGTAGGGCCGCGTAGGAGCCGGGGCAGGGCCGCGTTGGAGCCGGCGGCAGGGCTGGCGGTAGGGCCGGCTTAGGAGCCGGGGCAGGGCCGCGTTGGAGCCGGCGGCAGGGCCGCGCAGGGGTCGGCGCAGGGCCGAGCAGAGGCCGGCGGCAGGGCCGCGTAAGGGGCCGGCGGACAGGGCCGTGAAGGAGCCGGGACGGGGCCGCGTGAGAGCCGGCGCGGGGCCGAGTAGGAGCCGGCGGCGGGGCCGCGTAGGAGCCGGGGCAGGGCCGCGTAGGAGGCCGGCGCGGGGCCGCGTAAGGGGCCGGCGCGGGGCCGCGTAAGGGGCCGGCGGCGGGGCCGCGTAAGGGGCAGGCGGACAGGGCCGCGTAGGAGCCGGGGCGGGGCCGCAATGGAGCCGGTGGCGGGGCCGCGTAGGAGCCGGGGACGGGGCCGCGTAGGAGCCGGCGCGGGGCCGCTTAGGAGCCGGCGCGGGGCCGCGTAAGGGCCGCGTAAGGGGCCGGCGCGGGGCCGCGTAAGGGCCGCGTAAGGGGCCGGCGCGGGGCCGCGTAAGGAGCAGGCGGCGGGGCCGCGTAAGGGTCAGGGCGGGGCCGCGACAGAGTGGGCGGCGAGGCCGCAGGGGAGAGGGCGACTCGAGGGGTCGCTAAAAAAAACCGCGCCTCGGGGCGCGCTTCGGTGGGCCCAAAAAAAAATCGGTCCTGGAGGGACCTAGCTCTATACCATGTGAAACAATGAGAAGAGGAATGAAATGACTAAGTCAGAAAATGGTACAAATAACAAACACTAGGAATCTGTACCCCATATGTGCTACCCCACTACAGCCTACAAACATGTATCAGCTATAATGTTCTGACAGTTGGTTCCTTGGGCGAGGTGCAGCAAACAGCGACGGCGAGGCCGAGAACGCGGAGACCGGTTTCGTCAGTCTTTTCGTAGTGAAGTTGGTCATAGTCGTGGAAGCTGGTAACTTTGACCACGCCGTCATCGCTGTCGTTTCCGAGGCGGAGGGTATCCTGCGACATGTTGGGTTGTGGTAACTCGGCATCAGGTGAACGGCGCGCCTCACTGTTGTAGTCATGAGCCGCGCGAGTTGTATCGTTATGTCAGAATGTTATCTTATGCTCTAGCCTGTAGTGGGGTGCTCTATAGCGAGTACAACCCTTCTAGGGTTTGCTATTTGTATCCTCATTCTTGCTAGTGCAGTCCTCTTCTCTCTTCTAAATTTCACATGCTATCAGAGTAGGTCGATCCCCTTGGATCGATCCTGTGGGTGGGCTTACCACCTACTTGCTTCCGCTCCAACTACCACTACTACTCTCTGAGCCGCACGCCCCGTGGCGTGCGGCAGTTTTTCTTCCCGCCGTTCGCCCCGAGGCGCGCAGCGGGGCGCACGCCGGTTCTCTGCCCGCTGTGCGCCCCGAGGCGCGCGGCGGGCTTCTGCCCCGTCGTTCGGCGCGTCGCCCTTTAGAGGCGCCGCGACGGGCGACGGGGACCCGCGCGTTGCCCCCTGTCACCCGCCGTGGCCTGCGCGCGGCCCGTACAGGCAGCGCGCGGCCCGTACGGGCTGCGCCAGGCCCGCGCGCGGCCCGTAAGGACTGCGCCAGGCCCGCGCGCGGCCCGTATGGGCTGCGCCATGTCAGAATGAGAAACAGGAATGTGTGTGACTAGCAAGAACAACAGTACAAATATGAAACCCTAAACTGGTGTACCCCCTATGGTGTGACCCACTACAGCCTAGAACCACACAAACATATAATGTTTGACACACCCCCATAGGCAAAGTGGGGGAGACCTAGGGGTCACAAGACCAGTCAAGGCAAAGCAAGGCAAACAAGCTCAGGGTGGATCTCGAGGATTCCACACAAATTCCGAGCACAAGTAAGCGGTCACAAGACCAGTTCACATGCAGTTTTATAGCAGAGCAAGAGGTACAATGATCACAACCTAGCAAGGGCAAACATGCAGGTATATATATAATGATCACAGTACAGGCAAAGTCAAGAAGTAAGCAAGTGAGGAACAGTCGGCACAAGGCCTAGAAGAGTGCAAAAACGCTGATGGTCAACAGGCGGAAGCGCCTTGGTGAACACATCAGCAGTGTTGGCCTCAGTGGGCACGTAACGCAGAAGAAGCTGACCACGCTGCTGTAGCTCTCGAGCTAGAAAGTAACGCAGAGCAATGTGCTTCGTCCTGTGCTCCAGTCTGTGCTCCTGACACAAGGCTATGGTTGCCTTGTTGTCGACGTACAGCACTGGAGGAGAACGAGGCTGCTCTCCAAGGTCAGTCAGCAGGTAGGTGAGCCAGCGAAGCTCCTGGGCAGCCATGGCCGTGGCGTAGATCTCAGCCTCACAGCTGGAGCCGAGAACAGAAGAGGAACGAGTAGAACGCCAAGAGACAGAGCCAGAGCCAAGACTGAAGGTGTAACCCTGAGACGACCGCTGAGTAGCCTGGTCGTCCGCCCAAGAAGCGTCTGAGTGCCCAGTGAGAACAGGCCGGTCTCGCCCTCCAAGCACTAGCCCCATGCCCGACGTACTGCACAAGTAGCGCAACACCCTCTTAGCTGCATCCATGTGCTCCTTCCGGTGACGGCCGGGAGCGACATAGCGTGCTAAGATGCTGAGAGGGTATGCAAGGTCATGTCGAGTGCAGGTCATCAGGTACATGAGGCAGCCCACAAGCTCTGGATACGGACCACTCGGCTCTACGGACTCATCCGAAGGCAGAGCTGAGAGCGAGTGTCCCGTAGGCAGAGGAGTGGACTGAGGCGAGGAGTACGTGAAGCCGAAGCGCTGAAGGACCTGCTGCACCATGTGTGACTGAGTCAAGGTGATGGTGCGCCGTGCTCTGTCCCGGGTGATCCGCAAGCCAAGATAGCTTGTCAGTTCACCCAGGTCTGTGCACGTGTGTCTCTTCTGCAGCTCGGACTTCACGTGAGCGAGACCAGCTGTGTCAGAAGTGGCAAAGACCAAGTCGTCGACGTACACGAGGATGTAGAACGACGGCAGTGAGGTGTCGGTGCGTAGAAACAGCGACGGGTCAGCAGTAGAAGGAGCGAACCCAAGAGCCGCAAGTGTAGTCCTTAGTGTGTCGTGCCACTCACGTGGCGCCTGGCGGAGAGCGTAGACTGGTCGCCTGAGGCTCCACTGGGTACCAGGAGGAAACGACCCAGTGAAGCCAGGTGGGCGGCGCAGCCAGATCTCCTCGTGCAGGCTGCCCTACAAGAAAGCTGTGCTGAAGTCAAGAGAGTGGAGCTCGTAGTCACGCTGAGCGGCGACGTGTAGCAGAACCCGAAGAGTGGTCATCTTCGGGGTCGGGGAGAAGGTCTGGAAGAAGTCAACTCCCTCTCGCTGACTGAAGCCTCGTGCAACGTAACGCGCCTTGAAGACAGGCGGAGAGCCCGGCGGCCGCTTCACCCTGAAGATCCACATGCCACTGACGATGTTCGCCCCAGGTGGGGGAACCTCGTCGACGTAGGTGCCAGTGGACTTCCAGGAAGCCATCTCTGTGTCCATGGCTGACTGCCACTGAGAGGAGTAGGGACCGGCCATCGCCTCTGCGTAAGAGCGTGGGGTCGGGATGTCTGGTGCATCCGGGTCTCCCTCAGGGGCAACAAGCATGGACACGAGATGGGGCAAAGCAGCGGCAAGGCAACTAAACTCCTCCTGTCTGTCCTCAAGAACGTCCGTGCCAAGAACACACTCACCCCCGACGGACGGAGGACAGACAGACTCAGACTCAGCAACAAGACTCGCAGCGTAGTCTAGACGACACGCGGCTGCAAAGTCGACAAGCTCAGTGACTAAGGCAGACGCAGCAGCGGACTCAAAGGAAGGGTCAGTGACAACTGTAGCCAGGAGACGTGTGACAGTAGGACCGGCAGCGCGAAGGGTGTCTGACTCCGGGTCAGCAAGAGCAGGAAGAGAGGACGCAGGAGGCGACGGGAGAGCGACACGCTGTGGAGCAGTGGACTGACGAAGCGCCATCTGGTGAGTGCCTGGGACAGCAAGAGGACGCTGACGCTGGACACGACTACCAGTGGTAGTAGCACGACCAGGCGACGCTCGACGAGACGCAGGTGACACAGGACGTGACGCAGGCTCACGTCTCTCAGTAAGACCTCCAGTCGGACCAGTGTAAGGAGTAGGCACAGGGAGTGGGGAGGCAGGCGGTAACTGTGGCTGTGACTGGACAGAAAGCGGACACTCTAAGGCGAGAGGAGGACAAGGAGGAGGAGTCTGACCAAGAACCTGCTGAAGGAGCGGAACGAAGTACGGCCGTGGCCGTGCAGCAACTCTCGAACCAGTAGAGACACCAGAGGCAGGGTCCTCAGCACCAGCAGAAGCTCCACCCTCCGGGTCCCCCACTCCAGCGGCAGCAGCAGCACCTCCAGCAGCACCAGCAGCACCTCCAGTAGCAGCAGCACCTCCAGCAGCAGGGTCCGCAGCACCCACAGCAGCTCCAATGCCCGGGTCCTCAGTACGAGCAGCACCTCTAGCAGCACCGCCAGCAGCAGCAGCACCTCCAGCACCAGGGTCCGCAGCACCCGCAGCAGCGTCAACTCCGGGGACCCCAGCACCAGCAGCTCCACTCCGGAGACTGATGTGCCGAGCGTACCACTCTCGAAGCTGTGGGGAAGAGGGCGGCTCCCGCCGTGGTGGGGAAACACGAGTACCAACTCCAGTAGCACCACGAGCCCGAGACGTACCCTGCCGGAGGCTGCAGTACCGTGAGTACCACTCACGTAGCTGCTGCGAAGAGGGAGGTCCTCCAGGCGCCTCACAGTCAACTGCAACACCACCAGGCTCAGCACCCCCAGACTCAGCAACGCCAGGCTCAGTACCCCCAGACCCAGCACCCCCAGGCTCAGCACCCCCAGTCTCAGCACCCCCAGACTCAGCACCCCCAGACTCCACCCGCTCAGGCTCCGCACGCTCAGGCTCCGCACGCTCAGGCTCCGCACGCTCAGGCTCAGCACCTCTAGCAGGACGCGAGTCGACAGCTACCTCGGCAGGCTCAACCAGGTCTACCTGAGAGACACTTGAGGGAGCGGCACCCTGAGGGGGAAGGGGGTCTACCACTGCAGCACCTGGCGCGAGGAAGAGAGGCGGGGGAGGGAGCGGGGCAGTGCGGTAGGGGAAGAGGCGGTAGAAGGGCACGGACTCGTCAAAAGTAACGTCCTGAGAGGGGAAGATGCGGTGCGAGGCGGGGTGGTAAAACTGCCAGCCAGACGCATCCGGGACAAAGCCAAGAAAGACACAGGGAGCAGTGCGGGAGGAGAGCTTGTCCGCAGACGTGTTGCAAACAAAAGCTCGGGATCCCCAGACACGGAAGCGTGACGCATCGCCAACCTCCCCCGTCCACAGCAGTGTGGGCGAGGTCTCCGGAGCGGAGACACGGGGCCAGAGGTTGAGCTGATGCGCAGCGTACCGGACCGCAAACGGCCACAGAAAGTGGGGGGCAGCCGCGTGGACTAAGGAGGTACGAGCGACCTCCATGACCAAGCCAATGCGGCGCTCAGCAACGCCATTCTGCTGTGGAGAGGCCGGAAGCGTGAACGACTGGCGAATGCCGTGCTCGGCACAGTAGGCTGCCAAGAGGTCGGAGGAGAACTCGCCACCTCTGTCAGAGTGCAAGCGCAGGACAGGAAACTCCGAGCGAAAACGCTCTCGCAGCTGAAGACGTGCTCTGCTGATCCAAGGGATCAGGACATCAGGGACTTCACCCTTGGTGCGCAAGGGGAAGACCGTGGTGTAGCGCGAGTAGTCGTCAACGACGATCAAGAAGTACCTCTCCTGGCCCTGACCACGAACGCGGGCTGGGCCCCACACGTCCATGTGGAGCGTCTGCAAAGGAGCTGTCGTCGGGGGGAACGAGGAGGAGTGAGGGGCAGCGCGCTGCCGCCCCTCGAGACAGGGAAGACAAGCAGGAGCAAGGGAGGGTGGGAGGGGAGGGAGTACCCGAGGAAGACCAGAGACAAGGTACCGGGAGTGCATGCCCCGAAGGCGCTGCACTGACGGGTGACCAAGTCGGTGGTGCCAGAGGACAGTCTTGTGCGCTAGAGAGCGACACGAGCAGGGGGCAGACAGCTGACCTGACGCAGACGCAGACGCCGCTACCTGAGGGGACTCAGTGGTCAGTGTGTACAGGTCCGACCCCGGCTGCCGAGTGAAGGTAGCCAGGTGACGGCCCGTCCGAGCACACGTGCAGTGTGTCACACGCTCGTAGGCAAGGGTGAACTGGTGAACACCCCCATCCTGAAGCGCACAACCCGCCACCAAGTTCGTAGAGAACGAGGGGAGGTGGAGACCTGACAGTGTGCCCGACGGGACAGCAGGACAAGGAAGGACAGTGGAGGAGGTCGCAATGACCGGACCCCCAGAGGGGTCAGCGAGCGAGACAGCGACTGGTCGAGCAAGGGGCTCAAGAGCAGTGCGGTCACGAAAGAAACAGCGCTAAGCGCCTGAGTCTAGAGTGAAGGTGTGCAGTGCCTCAGTGGACTCAGTAGTACCTGGGGTGGCGGACACACAAGCACCTAGAGCAGTAGCCTCACTAGCACCTGGGGCAGCAGACACGCAAGCACCTAGGGCTGCAGCCTCACTCGTGCGGATGCTTGGGTCAGGCGGAACACACAGATACTGGTCCTCCTCTCCACTAATAGTCAATGCATACATGGCTTTGAGAATAACATCAAAATCAAGAGCATAGATATCGATATCCTTCTTGAGGAGATCAGCCCACTGAGGGAGCTCAGGAGCGTCAGGAAACTGAGCACGCCACGCGTCATCTAGGCGAGAGAAGCAGCGCTGCGCAGTGTGCGCCCTCCCGCACGTCTGTCCCTTGCGGCGACCAGTGCGGATGACGTACGTGCAACTAAGGCTACCCCCCCCACCCCCGTGCTGTAAGTACCACTCACGAAGCTCCTGGGAGGACTGAGGGTGCTGCGCGCTCTGGCCAGTGCCAGAGCCTCCACAACCACCACCGCCGCCTCCACCACGACCACCACCGCCCCTGCCGCCTCCACGTCCACTGCCGCCACCACCACTGCCCTCACCCCGGCCACCGCCGCCGCCGGTGCCTCCACCACTCCCACCGCTGCCACTAGCCCCTCCAGCCCCGCCACCACCCCCACCGCCGCCACCACCCCCACCACCGCCTCCCCCGCCGTCACCCCCACCGCCCTTGCCTCCCCTGCCCTTGCCGCTGCGACGCCCGCTGGGAGCGGACGCAGAGCCGACCTGCTCAGCACCAAGGAGGTCGACAGCAGCAGCAGAGGCGACAGAGGGGAGCAGGGGGGAGGGGGAACACCCCTCGAAGAAAGGGGTGCGGGGGTCGCCACGAGAGGTACCTACAGCTACAATACTCTTCTCAGCTGCAAGTAGTTCCTTCTCTAGGGCGGTAATGGTGAGCTCAGTGGGGCAGCGAGCTAGGAAGTGGTCCCTGACTGTACGCAGAGTGTCAGGGAGGCGGGTGACTAGGTGGTAGAGAGTGAGCCAGAGCGGGGGAGGGTTGGAGGCAAGAAACTCAGCGGGCATGGCGGCACGGAAGCGGGCATCACTAGTGCGGAGGTGAGTGATGAGGTCAGCAACTGTCTGGAAGGCGGACAGGTCGGGGAACAGGTAGGGAAGCGAGAGGCGGCCTAGTGCAGCTGAGGCCGGGGAGGAGTAGCGCGCAACTACAGCAGTGTACAGGGCCTGCGCAGTCTGATGCTGGCCAAAGTGCTCGCGCTCGTCGACTGGCAGGGAGTTTCGAATAGCAAAGCGGGCGTGGGCATCGCGAGTCTGCCACTGTGAGCGAGCAGTAGCAGCAGCAGTAGTAGCAGGAGGAGGGACTGTGCCTAGTGCGTGATCGTACAGCGAGATATCCTCTCTGGCAGTGAGCTGGAGGAACAGGTGCAGATCATCGAGCCAGGTCTCAAACTTAATCGGGCGGCCCTCAGCATCGAACGAGAGAACTGGAGGGCTAGCCATAGCTTAAGTAGCAGTAGCAGTGGCAGTAGCAGCAGCAGCAGCGGTAGTAGTAGCAGTAGCAGTAGCAGTAGTGGTGCTGCTGCTCAGGTAAGGAGGGCGCGGCCCGGCTAGGACGGCGCGGCTCGGCTAGGGCGGCGCGGCTCGGCTAGGGCGGCGCGGCTCGGCTGGGGCGGCGCGGCTCAGCTGGGTCGCGCGGTTCGGATCGGGTCGCGCGGTGCAGCTGGGGTCGCGCTGTGCGGCTCGGCCGTAGAGGGGCGAGTGCGGGAGGGGTCGTTCGGGGGCCGGTCGGGGCTAGCGCGGGGCCATTTGGGGGCCGTAGGAGGCTAGCGCGGGGCCTTAAGGGGCCGTGGGAGGCTAGCGCGGGGCCTTACGGGGCCGTGGGAGGCTAGCGCGGGGCCGTAGGTGGGCCGTGGGAGGCTAGCGCGGGGCTACACGGGGCCGTTCGGGGCTAGCGCGGGGCCATAGGGGGCCGTGAGAGGCTAGCGCGGGGCCGACACGGGGCCTTAAGGGGCTAGCGCGGGGTCTTAAGACGGGGCCGTGAGAGGCCGTAAGGGGCGACGCTAGGAACTAGGCGCACGAGGGCGCGAGGAAAAGGCGGCGCACGAGGGCGCGGCTAGCGGAAACGGTGGGCCCTAACGTTCCGGTCCTAGGTGGAACCTAGGCTCGTAATACCATGTCAGAATGAGAAACAGGAATGTGTGTGACTAGCAAGAACAACAGTACAAATATGAAACCCTAAACTGGTGTACCCCCTATGGTGTGACCCACTACAGCCTAGAACCACACAAACATATAATGTTTGACACGCCAGGCCCGCGCGCGACCTGTACGGGCGGCGCCAGGCCCGCGCGCGGCCCGTACGGACGGCGCCAGGCCCGCGCGCGGCTCAGGCCGCCTGCGCGCGGCCCGGGCGTCTGTACCAGGCCCGTGGTGGGCCCGTTCCTCGCTGCCCCTGCCCTCCCCGCTGTCCCCCAGTGCTTCTACTGGCGCCCCACCCATCCTACTCCCCATTCTCCTGAATTAGGGTTTGGGGGTGAGGGGTATGGGGGTGACCTCACTGTGTGCCGTTCCCTGCTCCTCCTCCTCCTCCGTCTCCCAGTGCTGCAGCTGTCGCTGAGGGGGGGTGGACGTGTTGGAGCCGGTGGAGTGGTACTAAGGGGGGGTGAAGGGGGAGTGGAGCTAGCGGTGTAGCAGCAGGTGTGTGCCAAGGGGAGTGGGATAGTTTGGGGAAGCTGAATGGAGGTTGCCGTCGTGTCGCCAGCAACACCTGTAGTCCGGGGAGTTGCTCCGGTAGCCCAGTTGTAGCCAGCTGTGCCAGCCGCCCGTGGGTCCGTTGCTCGTCTGCCGCTGCTTTAGCCGCGGGGCCAGTTACTCCAGTACTCCGGAGCGTTGTTCCGGTAGCCGCTGTGCCAGTGTGCCTCCTGTTGCCCGTGTGTCTGCAGCTTCAGCCGTCGCCTCCTATCTCCTCTCCTCTCACTCTCTCTCCTCCTCCTCTCTTGCTCGTTGTGACTGCCACTAGCTTTGCTCATAATTGTGAACTTTAAACTATTGCTTCTTGAACTTGTGCTCAGAATGTGTGGTGACATTGTGATCCACTGTGAGCTTGTACTGCTTTGGTTGCTCTGCTGATTACACCCCACTTTGGCTATAGGGGTGTGTCGGAATGTTATCTTATGCTCTAGCCTGTAGTGGGGTGCTCTATAGCGAGTACAACCCTTCTAGGGTTTGCTATTTGTATCCTCATTCTAGCTAGTGCAGTCCTCTTCTCTCTTCTAAATTTCACACGTTAGGATCGGGTTGGTGTACAGGTACGAATATCGGAGTCCCGAATTGGCTTGTGAGGGGGATGCTTGGAGCGAAGTCCATTGGGGTGACATCAGGTGCGTCTGCATCCTCGGCCAGGTCTGCTTCGTCGTGTGACGTGGCGAAGCTGCGGTGGCCCTCGAAGAGCCTCTCGGGAAGTTTGTCGGCTTCCTGATGCTTCTTAAAAAGGGGCAGAGTCAGCTTCTAGTAGAAGATGCAGTTACGTGATTACGTCACCTCGTGTGTCGCGTAGTCCAGCACGATCCACGCCTTGAATTCTTTCTCGATCCCGAGGTGGAGACCCCATCTTGCCCGGTCAACAAATTTTCCGGTTCTCGTAGTGTGGGGTCTGTACTGTACCATGCAGCCAAACACCCGAAGCATGCGTGTATCTGCTTTTCTGCCCGTTAATGCTGGTAGGGAGAGTTGTTCTTCTTGAGGCTTCGCGAGGACAGCAAGTTGTGCATCCGAACAGCGTGATTCATCGCAAACGGCCAATATTTTGTTGGGATGGCCGACTGCTTCATCAGGGCCCTCATCCGCGTGGCGAGGCTTCTGTTTGTCCGTTCTGCTACTCTTTGCTGTTGGTGAGCGTAGGGCAGGGACACCAGGTGCTCAATCCTCTTCTGCTTGAGGAGCTCCTTGAACTCATCTGAGAAGAACTCCAGGGCTCCGTCCGTCTGCCAGGTTTTGAGTTTGAGACCGGATTGTCGCTCAGCCCGCTTCATCCACGCAATGAAGCACTCGAAGGCCAGAGACCTGCTGTTGGTGTTGACGGCCCAAACGTAGCGAGTAGATGCGTCGATGAAGGTAAGTGTGTACTGCTCCCCGTCGAGCCCCTCCTGGCTGAGCACCATAAAGTCGCTGTAAACCTTGTCCAGCGGCTTGTAGCGTTCATACCCTGGGGGCAAATCGGGGAACGGTTGGTGATTGAGCGACGCGGTTGGGCAGACGATGCATGGCGGGTTAGGTGAGTCCGCGGTGAGGGAACCGTTTCGAGGAAGGAGAAGTGCGTCGTTGTCAAAGACTCCGGCTTTGAGCGAGTTTTTGAGCGTGGTGTGGGAGGGATGGCCGAGCCGTTGGTGCCATGTTTCTGGGGCTGCACGGTAACCGACTGTCTTTTGATAATGTTTTTGTCACGCTGCTTCGTCGTTTGCCTCCCCTTCAGGTCCTGCGTCGGTGGCGGAGTCGGTGTCGGCGGCGAGCGCACGAATTGCTTTTCGCTCCAGAAGCAGGCAGGGGAATACCGATGATGTCATCGGTGTCCCCGGCTTCGACTTGGTCTCCGGTAACGAGCAGGCATTGGTTGGGCCATTCCCGAACTGAGATTCCCTTCACGGGGATTCTCAAGTAACTGTATTCAGCGCCGATTACCTCAATTTCTTGTGGTCCTTGTACTGGCGGCTTCGGCTCCTCCGTAGGTTTGGGTAACTCTGTTGGTTCTCCCATAAATTCGTAGGCTTCTTCTTCTTCTGACTCTTTTGCCATTTGCTCGGGTGTGTCAGGGGCGTATTGATCTGGGAGAGGTGGACCTCCCCAGCAGGTGCCGCGAGTTGCCCAGTATGGGTCGACGATGGCAACTTCCGTAGGAGGGAAACCAGCTGCTTCCGCGTGCCCTTGTTCTGCTTCGGTTGTGGTGTCCCATCCTCTTCTGGCGCCCCATGTGTCTTCAGCGGTCTCTGCTTCTCCAACTGCTTCTCATGCTGTTGTGCCAACTTCCTCTGCTGGGACTGCGCCCCTCCCACCTGCGGTTGCTTCTTCTGGAGTTGGTACTTCTCCCCAGGGCCCGAGCGCGGGCTCGGAAGTGTTCCAGCCTGGCCAGTATGTCTCCGCTGTCTTGTTTTCTTCGGTTGGTTGAGTTGCAGGTCCTGACGTGCCGCTGACTTCTTCCATTGTGGCAGGTCCGGTTTCTGCAGGGTTGGAGGTCGAGGCAGTCGGGACAGTGCGCAAGCGTAGAAGGCCGTCGGAGGCTGGTCGTTCGAGGTCCATCTCGTCGGGACGTGACCATGTTGGTGGCTCCGTGGGAGTTGTTTTCAGTAGCAGTGTGCGGTGGGAGTCGCCGGTGGTGCCCTGAGCCAAAAATTGCAGCACGAAGACTCCATCATCATCGATCGCCTTTCCGATGTAAGTTTCGTTGTGGAAGAGCTCGAAGGTCTTTTCCTTCCGATTGCTGCGAATGTCGATTCCGCACCGCATGAGTTGAGCTGATGAGAGTAAGCTGTATTGTAGGTCAGGAGCGACGAGAACGTCCCCGATGTGAATGGTGAACTTCGTGTCATCGGCCTCGAGGTAGATTTTGTCGAAATATTTTGTCATGTTTTATAATTGCTTGTAGTTGTAGTTAGTGTAGTTATGTAAACTTTTGTTGGTGGTGCACCTTATTGTGTTTCTATGCTATATGTACCCCTGAACCTATAGTGAAACTCACCTTTTCACCAATTTCCCTCTCAACTCACTCGACATTGCTCCTAGGGGAAAACCCGCTCGATACCTAAGTTCGGGCCTAGGCTACTAAGCCTAGGCCCCACCTCTTAACTTACCTATTACTCTCGACATGTTATCGGAGCTTAGTGTTCGTCCTGGCCTGTGGGCCCGCTTTACTTCCGCTGCTAAGATTTTACGGTCGCGCGCCTAGGGCGCGTGACGGTTTTATTTTTACCTTGTCCCGCCCACGGGCGTGTGACTCCTTCCCTGCCCGTCGCACGCCCCGTGGCACGCGACGGTGCCCTTCTACTGCCCATCGTGCGCCCCGTGGCACACGATGGTGCCCTGCTCGTCGTGTGCCCCGAGGCACACGATCGGGCCCTTTTATTCTATCCGTCGTGCGCCCCGTGGCACTGGCCCGCGACGGGCCTTTCCGCCCCTGCACTCCCTACTGCCGCCCCTGACCCATCTGCACCGACGCCTCTTCGCCGCTCTGCGGCTTTCTTCCTTCCCACCCCCCCCCCTTTCTCTTGTCTCCCTGCAGCCGTGGGGAGGAGGGTATGGGGGTGGAGGGTGTTGGAGCGTGGGGTCAACTCTCTCCCTTTCCCTCCTCCTTCTTTCAGTCCCACCGCTGCAGCTGCCGCTGGGGGGGGAGGGTGTGAGGATGTGGGTGAGGAGGGGGAGTGGTACCGGGGTGGCGGGTGTGAGGCAACAAGCAGCCGTCCCTCCACCTCTCCTCTCTTCCCCCCTTCTCTGCTGCTTCTGCAGCAGTGTGGGGGAGGGGAAGGAGGAGGGTGAGGAGATGGAAGGGGTACCTGCTGTTGCTGTAACTACATACCTACCTACAAGCATTATGGGGGCGTGTCGAAATATTTTGTCATGTTTTATAATTGCTTGTAGTTGTAGTTAGTGTAGTTATGTAAACTTTTGTTGGTGGTGCACCTTATTGTGTTTCTATGCTATATGTACCCCTGAACCTATAGTGAAACTCACCTTTTCACCAATTTCCCTCTCAACTCACTCGACATTGCTCCTAGGGGAAAACCCGCTCGATACCTAAGTTCGGGCCTAGGCTACTAAGCCTAGGCCCCACCTCTTAACTTACCTATTACTCTCGACATGTTATCGGAGCTTAGTGTTCGTCCTGGCCTGTGGGCCCGCTTTACTTCCGCTGCTAAGATTTTACGGTCGCGCGCCTAGGGCGCGTGACGGTTTTATTTTTACCTTGTCCCGCCCACGGGCGTGTGACTCCTTCCCTGCCCGTCGCACGCCCCGTGGCACGCGACGGTGCCCTTCTACTGCCCATCGTGCGCCCCGTGGCACACGATGGTGCCCTGCTCGTCGTGTGCCCCGAGGCACACGATCGGGCCCTTTTATTCTATCCGTCGTGCGCCCCGTGGCACTGGCCCGCGACGGGCCTTTCCGCCCCTGCACTCCCTACTGCCGCCCCTGACCCATCTGCACCGACGCCTCTTCGCCGCTCTGCGGCTTTCTTCCTTCCCACCCCCCCCCCTTTCTCTTGTCTCCCTGCAGCCGTGGGGAGGAGGGTATGGGGGTGGAGGGTGTTGGAGCGTGGGGTCAACTCTCTCCCTTTCCCTCCTCCTTCTTTCAGTCCCACCGCTGCAGCTGCCGCTGGGGGGGGAGGGTGTGAGGATGTGGGTGAGGAGGGGGAGTGGTACCGGGGTGGCGGGTGTGAGGCAACAAGCAGCCGTCCCTCCACCTCTCCTCTCTTCCCCCCTTCTCTGCTGCTTCTGCAGCAGTGTGGGGGAGGGGAAGGAGGAGGGTGAGGAGATGGAAGGGGTACCTGCTGTTGCTGTAACTACATACCTACCTACAAGCATTATGGGGGCGTGTCGAAATATTTTGTCATGTTTTATAATTGCTTGTAGTTGTAGTTAGTGTAGTTATGTAAACTTTTGTTGGTGGTGCACCTTATTGTGTTTCTATGCTATATGTACCCCTGAACCTATAGTGAAACTCACCTTTTCACCAATTTCCCTCTCAACTCACTCGACATTGCTCCTAGGGGAAAACCCGCTCGATACCTAAGTTCGGGCCTAGGCTACTAAGCCTAGGCCCCACCTCTTAACTTACCTATTACTCTCGACAGATTTCGCCAATCTCATATGCCTTCATTTTTCCGTTGTTGGCGGCGGTGATTCGTAGGGTCGTCGCATGCATCGAGAGTTGCTGATGAACTTTTGGCGATCCCACCATGTGTTGTCCGCAGCAACTGTCGAGGTACCACGTGTCTAGATCCTCGTAGCGCTAGCGGGCAAGGTTGGCAATCTTGGGTGTGACGATGCGATCAAGGTCGCCGGTGTACGGTGAGAGGGCAAAATATCTGTTTGCAGAAATGCTCGGCGGCGATTCCGGAGTAGGGGGAGAGAGCTCGAAGTCAGGAGGAATGTCCGAGGGGCGAGAGGACCAGGTAAAAGCTGTTGGGTCATTGTCTGGACTGGGCGCAACGGGGTTGATGGGATTGCCGCGAGTGAATGTTACTCGATCCCAGTAACGGGACCCTCTGTTGCGTCGAGCCATGCAACTTATGATTGTTCCTTTTCCTTTGTCCTTCGCCGTGATGAGTGCAGGGGATTGTGAAGTGCTGGCGACGGAAGGAGGCGACACAGTGGCGGAGGGCTTTGTCTGCGTCGATGATTGTTGGTTGGAGGCGTTGCGCTGCTCGTCAGCGGCCTGACGCTTGTAGCACTGGTCGATAGAGTGGCCAGACTTCTTTCCGCGTTGTTCCCCTCATGATGCTCCTGTGTAGAAGACTAATTTCTCCCGTTTAACATTCTTCTCGTTGTACAGGTCGATTTCCTTCTGCTCCGAAAGAAGCGTGGCGCATAGAGCTGACTCTGATATGGTTGCTCGGGCGCGAAGGAGTGACTGGCATTGTCGCCTGGGGGGCCGAGGCCAGAGATGACCATCGAGATAAACATGTCGTCGGGGACAGTCCCACCGCATTTCTTGACTTGGACACGCAGATTGCGGCACCGGTTGACATACGGTCCCACTTTCTCCCCTTGCTTCATTTTTACCGAAGTCAGTTGGCTGAGTAGACGGCTCATCGTAACTGGATCTGTTGCCATGTATGAGTTGCGCAGGTGTTCCCAGGAGGCTTGCGCGGGAGCCCACTCCATCTTATAAGGGCGAATGTTAAGCTGCTCTTCAGGTGAGAGATTGCGAAGGAGAGCGGTGTACGCGAGGAGGGATTCGTGGTAGTATTGATGCTTCTCCTGGATGGTACCTTCCGAGGGAAAAGATATGCTTCCGTCGTAGTACATCCAGATTTGAGCGGTTGTCGCGAGAAGCTCGAATTCGAAACTCCACGTGTAGAAATCATTTCCGTCGAAAGGAATTGAGGTCTTCAATTTTGAAGTCAATACGAGTTTGGTTTGCATTGAGGCAATGTCTGACTGTGAGCGCTGTGGGTTGTCTTGTGCAGGAGCTGACCCTTGACGATTGTCAAAGGTGAAGGATCTCTCGGAGTTGACGCGGCGGTCTTCTCCAGGGAGAGGAAGTCCAGCAACGCCACGTGCATAGCTTGAGCCGTTAACGCTCATTGCTTGATGGCTTTCAAGGGCGTTGATGCGTGCGACTAGCTCCTCAACGACAGCGGCGCTGACGGAGGTCACCGCTGATGGCGCGTTAGTCGTTGTTGGTGGTGGGCCCGGTGAGTCTGCAGTAACTTTTCCTTCAGGAGCCATAGTATTGCAGACTTTGAGGTGTAATGAATAACTTTATAAAGGGATTGTTCTGAGAAGAACGAGGACTTGACAGATCGTATAATCCACTCTAGCTCTCATACTATGCTGATATAACCAAGGATCCAATGGATGTGATAGAATCTGTTAAGTCTGAGAGGAGAAAATGAAGTCTGTGTAGTGACCTTGTTGAGTAATAATTGAAAGAGAAAAAGATGATTGAAAGATAGGAGTACAAGAGATTAAATAGAAATCTAGCTAGCCATGTACTCTGAGGGGTACATTCTCTTATCAACTGTATTGCATAGCTACAGTAACCGTGACTATTGCTATCCTCGACAGTTACCATGTTGCAGTGAATTAACTGTCGCGCGGTTACTGGATTGTCAAGGGTCACGACCGTTGACTTCCTCAGACGGTTGACCTTCGGGTGACCCTCGACATTCCGCATGCTCTATATGAGCTATTGCGGTACTGGTACAGTGGAACAGCTTCGGGAATGCTTTATATAACCTTTCGGGTATTCCAACATCAAGAATCTTTCTTGCTTCTTGAATGGAAAGAGTGAGCAGAATACCGGTAATTGGCATGCTCAGCATGAAAAGAGCGAAATAATAAATGTAAGGTGGAGGAAAAGAATCTGCAGAATAATGCATGCCCTTGTAACGAGCCACATTTGTTCCTCGTCATTCCGATCGCGGTTCCCTAGGTAGGGTGCATGCATCTGGCCGCATTGTTGTCTCCAATTCCCGCCAATTTTGCCTGGTCCTGGTAATAACGGCTAAAATCTTGGAAGGCTCACTCCTTCAAGAGCTCCCCGTTTTTGTGCCAACGCGGCAGGCTCGCGCGATGCAAGCTCTCCCCGCGTCTTCCGCGTATTAGTGATGCGTTTGAGGATAGTAAATGCGAACACCTTTTTCTTTTGTTTCCATGACCTGAAAATATATCGTTCGTTCTGCTATGGCCGATAACCTCCCTCCTCGACAATAGTTGCCAACGTCTCCTAGTCAGAGCACCACTTCGTTGCTTCATATCGTCCAACTATCACTCCGCATTGTTTTTATTTCAGTCTATAGGAAAGAAAGGAAAAAATGGCAGTCGAGGCCATGCAGCAGGCAGCCGCTGTACCATTTTCTCCTACACCGCATTTCGCCACCTTCAAACTGTGCCGACCCTCACTCGCTACCGCAGCGCCTCATAACGCGTACAAAACTCTCACAGCCGCGCAACGCCATTGTCTCGTTCCAAACCGTTTCAAAAGCGCGGTCGCGCCGCCAGCAAGGTCCCTGGTGGTGGCGGCGGCGGGTGCGTCGGGCTCTTCCAGGATTCCCGCGGGCCAAGTCAGCGAGTCCGACGTGGCATTCGTGCGGCAATTGCGGGTAGTACTCGCGGAGAACGGGCTGTCGGAGCAGAACCTTCCGTCGATTAAGGAGGTCGCGTCGCTCGGCGGGTAAGACTCAGAACACACTGGAGTCGTCGGGAAAGAAGGGCTTCGGAGGGAATGCCTGCTTGGAAGGCGGCAGGGTGGGAGGGCGAGAGGGGGGGGGTGGGAGAGAGGGAGGGAGGGAGACAGGCTGGACATGCCTTACTTCGCCTGCCAATGACGTGCCTCCCCTCTGCCCTTCCCCGCTCCCACCCCCCCACCGCTCCCACCCCTTTCCCCTCTTACACCCGTCCTCCCCGTCCCTCCCCCCTCGCGCCCCCACCCAAGCCCCACCGCATTCCTGGCGGGGGGCATGCGCACGAGGGAGTACAGGCGGGGGCACTGACGCCGTGTCCTTCCCCTTCCCTTCCCCCGTCTCCCCCCCCCCCCTTCCCCCAGAGCTTTCCTTGCGGGGGCGATGCGCACGAGGGGGTACAGGCGGGTGCACGAGCTGCTGAAACTGGTGGCGGACGATGGCGGAGAGGGGGGGGAAGGGGGGAATGCGGAAGGGGTGGATGGGCACGGGGGAAGGGTGGAGAGCTGGTCGCTAGGCTCGGGACCGGGGTCGTTAGGCTCGGGGCCAGGTTCGGCAATGTCCATGGCGCAGCAGAAGGCGAAGGTGCTTCAGCAGCGGATGCAGCAGAGGTGAGTAAAGAGAGCAGAGAGAGCAGAGAGAGCAGAGAGCAGCGAGCAGAGAACAGCGAGCAGAGAGCAGCGAGCAGAGAGCAGCTAGAAGCGAGCAAAGAGCAGAGAGCAGAGAGCAGAGAGCAGAGAGCAGAGAGCAGAGAGCAGAAAGCAGAGAGCAAAAGATGGGCTGGTGATAATGCTGCACCTGAACCTTGCTGCTGCCATGCTTTGGAAAAATTCCGCTGCCCTCCTCCACCATTGTTTAAGGCGTCTCAGAAACTGCTCAGAAACAGCTCTGAAACTGCTTAGAAGTTGCACGGAAACTGTTTCGGTGGGTTGAAGATACTTGGTTCTAACTAGACAGCACTTCCAAACTTGGGCCAAACCCATCCCAGTTCTCCCCCCCATCCACCCTCCCTCCCATTTCTGCCCTCCTGCCCTCCCTCCCCCTCCCGCCTTCCACCTCCCCATCGTCTTCTTGCCCCAGGGGCCTTTTATCCTCGTCTGAAGCATCTTCATTACAACCACAATCCGGCAGCAGCGAAGCTGGGCTTTCGTCCCCAGCACCCACTCCCTCCTCTTCCTCCGCCTCCTCTGCTCCCCCTTCCTACTCCCCCTCCTTCAACCCCTCCTCCACCCCCTTCTTCTCCTCCTCCTCTCCTTCCCCCTCCCCTTCTCCCTCCCCCTCTCCCTCCCCCTCCCCCTCCTCCTCCTCTCCTCCCATCACCCCCATACCCCTCTCAAGCACCCAAGACACAAGCAGCGATAGTGACACCGACATTGGTGACAGTAATGAAGGTGATGGGTACATTGCACCGGAAGTCGCCTGGCTGTTCCCAAGCCTGAATCTCGACCTGAGCAAGCTGGACTCAGCCAGCGAATCAGAGAGTGAAGCAGGGGAAGGAGAGGAGGAGGGAGCGGAAGCATGGGAAAGAAAGGGAAGGGCAGTGCGAAGTGAGGTGAGGGAGGTGGAGGTAAAGGCGGAGGAGGCGAAGGAAAATGAGGAGGAGGTGGAAGAGGAGGCAGGGGAGGAGGAGGAGTGGGGTGAAGAGGAGGAGGAGGAGGAGGAGGAGGAGGAGGAGGAGGAGGAGGAGGAGGAGGAGGAGGAGGAGGAGGAGGAGGAGGATAGCTTCTGGAGGAGCAGGATGTACGATGGTATCCCTGACGACGCACGCTCGCAGGCTCGGGAGGCGATAAACCGATTGGCTGTTGAGTCAAGCGACACCTTTCTCTCCTCGCCTGCTTACAACACGCCCCGAGCCCTGCCTCCCCCTCCCACCCCCGTCACTCCTCACGAAGCTTCCTCGAAGCTTCAATATGATCATAGGTATGAATCGACAGAGGAAGCTGCGAGTGCAGCCGATTCTTGAGTCGACTAAGAAATGAGCGTACAACCACTCCTCCCTCTCTCCTTACAACCCTAAGGAGAGAGGGAGGAGTGGTTGTAAGTCCTCCTATTTCGACTTCCTTCCTCCTATCTCGACTTCACTCCTGGCATGGTACGGTATGTAAAGGCGACAAGGAGAGCAAGCGAAAACGACTTTCGAGGCACCTCTTATATATCTAGGCGCCTCAAAAGTCCCCTGGCATGTTATGGTATGTAAATGCGACAAGGCGAGCAAGCAAAGACGAGTTTAGTGAATGAATCGATGCGAATTTTCACTCTCTTGCTGCATACTCGCTCACTCGTTGCTCACGTCTGCCTGGTCCTCCTACTCCCACCCCGTGACTCCTTAACACGCCTCTTTCTAATTCTCCCATCGCTGCTCTCTCTGTCACTCCAAACGTCTCTCCCTATGCTACTGCAACGTATCCCATAACCAGCGGCAGCAGCAGGAGCGAGGGGAGCGGGGGCAGCAGTGGGAGTGCGGGCGATGGAGAGTGGGCGGGCGGCATGGAGGCATGGGAAGCTGAAGCCATGGCGGAAGCAGAGAGACTGGCGGCCAGTCAGGTGAGTGGGGACGAAGGGGCATTTACGCGTTTATTGCAGGCTGTCAGGTGGGAGACAACGACGGGGAGTGGGGGCAGGCGGCATGGAGGCATGGGAAGCTGAAGCAATGGCGGAGGCAGAGAGACTGGCGGCCAGTCAGGTGAGGGGCGGACAGGTAGAGTATGAGTGGGCAGTCTTGAGATTTCTTAGAAGGGGAGTGGGGTGACGATTCATGGCTTTTTTTACACGTTGTTAACACTGTATTGCTTGGTGTTTTCATCACACCATCTCTTCTCATCTCTTCTCTTCTCGTCTCTTCTCTTCTCGTCTCATCTCATCTCGTCTCTCCTCTCCGTTTCTCTTCTGATCTCATCTCCCCTCACCCTGCTGGTTCACCTTCCCATCCTTGTAGCACAGAAAAACAGTTGGTTCACCTTCCTATCCTTTACACGATTCTCCCTCTGTAACTCGTCCTAATCTCTTCCTAATCTCGTCCTAATCTCGTCCTAATCTCGTCCTAATCTCTTCCTAATCTCACCCCTGCTGGTTCACCTTCCCACCCTTTTCACGATTCCCCCTCTGTTCTTCACCATCTCCCGACGCCCCTCTTGTCAACATAACATTTCCCTGCGCCTTGCCTTCCCCTCTCCCCCCACCCTTGTGTCTCCCCCCACCCTTGTGTCTCCCCCCACCCTTGTGTCTCCCCCCACCCTTATGTCTCCCCCCACCCTTATGTCTCCCCCCACCCTTATGTCTCCCCCCACCCTTATGTCTCCCCCCACCCTTATGTCTCCCCTCGCCCATCTCCTTCCACCAGGCGACACTCTTTTCAGAAGAGGCTGAATTGGAGCTAGAGAGAATTAAATCCTTGCTGGTGAGCTAGAGAGAATTAAATCCTTGCTGGTGAGCTAGAGAGAATCAAATCCTTGCTGGTGAGCTAGAGAGAATCAAATCCTTGCTGGTGAGCTAGAGAGAATCAAATCCTTGCTGGTGAGCTAGAGAGAATCAAATCCTTGCTGGTGAGCTAGAGAGAATCAAATCCTTGCTGGTGAGCTAGAGAGAATCAAATCCTTGCTGGTGAGCTAGAGAGAATCAAATCCTTGCTGGTGAGCTAGAGAGCGAGATATGTTGGCCACCCACACAGATATGTTGGGAAGTGAAACGTATTAAGTGCCCTTATATCGTCATCGGACAAGGCTGGAAGGGAAGAGGCTGGGAGGTGAATGATTAAGGACGTAGGAGCTTGTGTGATAAGTCGATTTTTGAGTCGACTAAAAAATCGACCTAGGAGCTTGCAGTCATAATGGGGGAGATGGGCCATTGTGTCATTAGGCCGTTGTGTCACTCCTCGTCTTTGTCCCCTTCCTCCTGCTCCTCCTTTCAATCGTCATTCCTCCCTTGCCATCCATCCATCCTCCCCCCTCTCCTCCTCCCCACCTCCTCACCGCCCCTCTTATCTCCCATCAGGCGTCAAGGGAGGAGGAGCTTTCAGTCATAATGCGGGAAATGGAGGAGGCCAAGGTAGGAGTGAATGTGGGTGTGAGCGTGCGTGTACCTATGTGTGTGAGTGTGAGTGAACAGAGGCCAAGGTAGGAGAGTGGGTGGGTGTGGAGGAGGAGGAGCTTTCAGTCATAATGCGGGAGATGGAAGAGGCCAAGGTAGGCGTGAATGTGGGTGTGTGAGATTGTGGGTGCGAGTGTGGGTGTGTGTGAGAGTGTGGGTGCGAGTGTGAGTGTGTGTGAGAGTGTGGGTGCGAGTGTGGGTGTGTGTGAGATTGTGGGTGCGAGTGTGGGTGCGTGTGAGAGTGTGGGTGCGAGTGTGGGTGTGTGTGAGAGTGTGGGTGCGAGTGTGGGTGTGTGTGAGAGTGTGGGTGCGAGTGTGGGTGCAAGTGTGGGTGTGTGTGAGAGTGTGGGTGCGAGTGTGGGTGTGTGTGAGAGTGTGGGTGCGAGTGTGGGTGTGTTTGAGAGTGTGGGTGCGAGTGTGGGTGCAAGTGTGGGTGTGTGTGAGAGTGTGGGTGCGAGTGCTCGTGGGTGCGAGTGAGAATGTGAGGAAAAGGAGCAGGAGATTGTTGGGGTGCTAGGGTGTGAAGTGGCATGGCAACGAGTGAAGAAGTTGGGATATCAGGGGTTGGGGTCGAAGCAGAGGGCGAGCTGGCGCTGATGTGGATGGCAGGGTTGTTTAGATGATGTGGCACATCAGATGCCACCATGGCGCTGATGTGGACCGTAGGGTTGTTTAGATGCACCCACGGTGGCGCTGACGTGGACGCGGTGGTATCCTCCTTCCATGTTGCTGTCACGCCAGTGATACCACCATCTCCTCTCTCACCGCACCCTCTCTCACCGCACCCTCTCTCACCTTAACCTCTCTCATTGCACCCACATTCCAACTGATGAAGGCGAATGCAGAGAGCGAGCTGGCGCTGGTGCTGAGAGCTCTCTCAGTGCATCCCCCTCTCTGCTTTGCGCCCTCCCTCACTGTTCTCACTCCTCCACGCTCATACCATGCAGGCACAGTTCCATGTGATGGAGGCCAACGCGGAGAGTAAGCTGGAGCTGCCGATGAGATCTTTCTCTCTGCTTTTCCCTCTCTCACTGCTACCAAACCACCATCTCGTCTCTCACTGCTCCTCCTCCAACCCATCAGGCGCAGTTCCACATAATGAAGGCCAACGCAGAGAGTGAGCTGGCGCTGGCACGGCAGGCGGTGCTGGAGAGAGACGTCAAGCTGGAGGCCGCTCAGCAGGCCATGGGAGCTCTAGTGAAGGTACCTATAACGAGTATCAGTTGTAATTGTGCTGGAGAGAGGAGTCAAGCTGGAGGTCGCTCAGCCGGCGATAGGGTTTGTAATGAAGGTGACTATATGAGGTAACAGGGTAAATCAGTGAGTGAATGGTGCACTCTTGTTGAGAAAGGGAAGGCAGTGGTGGGCAGTGGTGGGTGGTGATGGGTGGTGGGTAGTGGTGGGTGGTGGGCAGTGGTGGGTGGTGGGCAGTGATGGGTGGTGGGCAGTGGTGGGTGGTGGGCAGTGATGGGTGGTGGGCAGTGGTGGGTGGTGGGCAGTGGTGGGTGGTGGGCAGTTGTCTAAATCGTCCCTCACTCTGTCCCTCACTCCCCTCTCCTCCCATCTGGTGGTGGTGGAGTGTTGGGGCGACGGCCACAAGGTGCTGCTAGCAGGCAGCTGAGAATAGGGAGACTGACCCTACCTACTCCCTTCCTCCTGTCACCACCCTCCTCCTCCTCCCATCAGGTGGGGGTGGAGTGTTGGGGCGACGGCCACAAGGTGCTGCTAGCAGGCAGCTGAGAATAGGGAGACTGACCCTACCTACTCCCTTCCTCCTGTCACCACCCTCCTCCTCCTCCCATCAGGTGGTGGTGGAGTGTTGGGGCGACGGCCACAAGGTGCTGCTAGCAGGCAGCCTAGAGGGGGGTCACTGACCCCTATCTCCGTACCGCCTCACACTCCCTCTCACTCCTTTCTCTCTCCCCATCAGGTGGTGGTGGAGTACTGGGGTGAGGGCCACGAGGTGCTGCTAGCAGGCAGCTTCAACGGATGGCAGAGCCACGTGCCGCTGGTGCCTGATGAGTCATCACACATTCCCAACCACGATGGCAGCAGGTACGGTGAAAACAGGAACCGACCGTACGGTGACCGTGGGTACGGTGGAAGCAGGAATGGTGCCAGCTTCAATGGGTGGCAGAGCCACGTGCTGTTGGTGCCTGATGAGTCATTACACATTCCCAACCACGATGGCAGCAGGTGGGGTGAAAGGAGGTATGTGGTTGTGGTTCCGGCAGGTATGGTGAGATCATGCACGGTGAAAGAAAGTATGATGGAAGACTTTTGAGGTGCCTCAAAAGTCGTCTCAAGTCTCGCGGTTTTTGAGGCGTCTCAAAAGTCACTCCTTTTGAGGCGCCTCAAAAATGGTTGTGGTTCCGGCAGGTATGGTGAGATCATGCACGGTGAAAGGAAGTATGATGGACGAGCCATGTGCTGTTGGTGCCTGATGAGTCTTAGCACATTCCCAACCCAACCACGATGGCAGCAGGCTTTGTAATGGCAGGTGCGGTGGAAGCAGGTACGGTGAAAGGAGGTACGGCGGAAGCGGGTATGGTGGCAGAGCCATGTGACTCTGGTGGATCACACATTCCCAATTACGATGGAAGCTGGTACGGTAGCGGGAGGTACGGTGAAAGAAGGTATGGTGGAAGAAGGTACGGTGGAAGAAGGTATGGTGGAAGAAGGTACGGTGGAAGAAGGTACGGTGGAAGGAGGTACGGTGGAAAAAGGTGCGGTGGAGCCAGGTATGGTGGAAGAGCCTTGTGCCCCTGGTGCCCGATGCAGCAGGTACGGTGGAAGCAGGTACGGTGGAAGCAGGTACGGTGGATGTGGTGCACCTTTCCTGGCTCCCGTTGCATTGCAATCTAGCGAGGACTAACTTAACCACATGAAAACCCGTTGCATTGTTATGAGGTGCTGAGTGTTTTGATGTGCGGGATCCTAGAATTTGAAGCCTACTCTCATTCCGCCCTTCCGTTTCTCTCCCCCACCTCCCCATCCCCTTGCCCTCCCCTCCCTGTTCTGTCGCAGGGGCGCGATGATTTGGGCATGCACTCTTTGGCTCTATCCAGGCCACTATCAGGTACAGTGCGGTGCTACACGGTTCTCTGTCTGTGTGCTAGAGTGGTCCTTTAAAATGCATCAGCTTCCCCACACCCCATCCATAGTTCCCGCTTCGTCCGCCTCTGTTTGGCCAGCTCTCCCTCACCCAAAATCCGTTCCTGCCTCCTCTGTTCTCCATAATTCAGTAATTGTTTCACCTCCATCTTCCGATTCCCACCATGCTCATTCCGTCCCCCTCACCCTCCGAAGTCACGTCACATGTTTTCCTCAATTCCATCTCGCTCTCGCTTCAAGCACACCCTCCTCGTTTTTCTTGAACTCCCCCCCCCCCCCCCCCCCCACCCCTCCCCCCCCAAATGTTTTTGGGCAGGTCAAGTTTATTGTGGACGGTAGATGGACGCTCGATCAACGGAGGGAAGTGGTTGAGGGCAACATGGGGCAAAATAATCTTCTGGTTGTGAACTGGGAGGATGATGGGTCAATCAGTGATGGCGGCTCCCACGTGGCTAGCAACACTTTCCCGCCTACGTTTCTGCGATGAGATCTCCTGTGATGTAATGGTTGCCTTTAGAATGCCCTCCCCGAGGGTGCAAGTGGGGATGAAGCAATGGGAATGTAAGCCGGTGCATCTTTAGATGATGCTTTGACCGATTAGATGACGTGATGGGTTTTAAGATGGTTGAAGTTCCATCTTGGGGATAACTCAATATGGTATGAGATAATGATTTGTCAGAAATGTGCATGGAAGAGCCAAATGACGAAGCTGGCTCAATGCATCTCCACCTCGAAAAAAAACATTGTTAATGCGGGAAATGATGGTATAGTCTACCTGGAAGATGGAGATTACATGGTTAGGAGGTCTCAGGCTGGTGAAGATCAGTGATCCCATGTGCTATGGAAATTAAGATAGGTTCACATACTGCTATTGTTTGATGACTAAGTCCCCCACAAAGCTTCTGTAGTTAGCTTCTAATGTGTTGATCCGGGTTTTGCTCAGAAGCGGTACATCACCACTAGGGTTGCGAGCAGGGAGGGAAACGAGCTTTGCGCCAAAAGCAGAGACACCGTCAGGTGCTAGATTGACAATCCCGTGAAAAGTGGTGCGACTGACAGCGTCAGCTTGGTGCAGCCAATCAGAACGAATGTAGCACCCTGCGAAATGTCAACGGAGAAAGGGGACCCCCTTGGGCCACTGGAACCACACTTCTACAGTCGCCTCTATCCTGTCCCGAGATTCCGAACCCAAAAGTGATCGTCAACCCAAGAAAGCACCTCCCGCGCTCGCCAAGGTTCGCTTTTTATCGTTCGGCCCGCCGATGATTCGGGCGAGCGAGAGGCGTCAGCGAACCGACTCTGAACGACTTCCACGATTGGCGATCAACGGGCGACCCGCGCGTACGCACCCCCCCAATCCATCAACCACACGCGCAGTGCCAGCGCAACATCACTGGGTGCTCTACACCAATCATGTGGTGCTCCATTTCCGCCCGTCTGGCATCTCCCTTATTTTCGAGCTCTCCGCAATTCGTCCCCCCCTGTTTCCCCCATCCCCCAAAATCAGGATATTTGCCGCCCTCCTCACTTGGAGAAACTTCCCCCTCCCCTCCCCTCGGGACAAACCCCACCCGCATAAACCCCGTCGGGGTTGCGCACGTATCTGATCAGGCGTGATCCCAGTTCCTGCCTGGTCGCGAAAATCATGTGTTCTGTCTCTGATCTTGATATAAGCCATGGCGGAAAACGAGCGCGCGGCTTGGAAGAAAGTGGGTGACTGACGCTGCACCTGCAATAAACGATGATGCCTCCCGCTAATAAAAGATGAGCGGTAAGCTCAGTGAACGTTTGCGTGACGGTGAACATCATCACGGTATACTCAGTGATGACCTCATTTAGTGGACGGGGTTTAGCGTATTAAGTTCCTCACCCTGCACGTCTTGTCTCGTAAAAATTTTGGAGGACAAGGGGCCATCGATAATTATCACTATCTGCCAAAAAAAGGCTTGATAAGCATCAACACAAGCTCGTCCAGGGTCGCCGACAAATGGCAC